GAAAATGACAAAATTACAAATTCTATGTTCATAAGGGCAAAAAAGACAATTACACAATAAAAAGTTATTTTTCAGTTTATTTACCAAACACTACTCTACTGCTTAAATTCATAATCCCACAACTATACCAAACAGATTACCAGCTTATGTTCACAGCTGTAAGTTAAAATTTATAATCACTTTCCCACGGTTCTACCAAACGGCCTATTATAAATTCAAAACAAGTGCTTCATCTTTTATATATTCTACCAAGGCACGAATCCCAATGTTTACCATGTGCGCTATAATTTTGGCAAAAAAAAAAATTGAGTCCCAACTTTATAACAAGATCATGATTCAAAACAAATGCTTCGGTTGATAGCTTGTAAATATAAGTCGTAATGGGAAAGTCTATAATACATTTCAAAATGTACGATACATAGAAAATCAATAGCTAAGATTGAGCCACATCATTAAAAGTGACCTGCTAAACAGATTACTTTTTTTAGTTATGAGCCAAAATCATTTTTTTTTTTATAACTATAATCAAATTGATCATAACTTAGTCATAACCACATTTCATAACCAACACCATTTTGTTTATAACTAATATCACATATTTCATAACCACGTCTCATAACCAACACCATTTTGTTCATAACTAATATCACATATTTCATAACCAAAATCACATATCTCATAACCACATCTCATAACTAACCCCTTTGAGTCATAACAAGCATTACATATCTTATAACCACTAGTTACATATCTCATAATCAACACATTTTTTTTCATAACTAACATCACATATCTCATAACTACTAGTCACATATCTCATAACTAATACCATTTTGCTCATAACCACACCATTTTGATCATAACTAATACATATCTCATAACTATTACCCACATGAATCATAACCATATCTCATAACCAACCCCTTTGAGTCATAACCAACATCACATATCTCATAACCACTAGTCACTTATCTCATAACTAACAACCATTTTGCTCATAACCACACCACTTTGATCATAACCAATATCTCATATCTCATAACCACTAACACATATAGCATAACCAAGCATCCTTTGATACCACTTTGCTCATAACCAAAATCACATATTTTATAATCATTAATCAAATATCTCATAACCATTAACCACATATCTCATAACCAACATCACATATATTATAACTACTAATCACATGTCTCATAACCACACCACTTTGATCATAATCAACATTACATATCTCATAACCACTAATCACATTTCTCATAACCAAACACCCTTTAACTTATAACTACACCACTCTGCTCATAACCAAAATCACATATCTAATAATCACTAAGTATATATCTTATAACCTTTACCCACTTATGTCATAACCATATCTCATAACCAACACCATTTCCCTCATAACCAACATCACATATATCATAATCACTAATTGCATATCTTATAACCACTACTCATATATAGGGATGTAAATTTGGCCTATAAGCTCGTGGTACACCCCAAGTCCAGTCGCACCCTAGGTGGGCCCAACCAGGCATAAGCCTAAGCCTAAGCCCAATCTAAGACCCTAGGCTATGTTTTTTTAGAGCTCGGCCCAACTCTGACGTGTTATCAAGTGTGACCCATCTCGTGAGCTCGACCCGAAATTTTTTTCCCCATCTGGCCCGACCCAATCCCAATGGCTCTCTGCCCCTCTGTTAGTGCAACGGTCAAAATTTTAAAAAATAAAATAAAAATTGAAACAATCATATAACCGTTAATACCACCAACAACCATTTATATATATATATATATAAATTAACCCCTTCCTCCCAAGTCCTATAAATATCATCCCTCTCTCATTTTATTTCTCACAAACAAATTTGTCTGTCAAACTCTTATCATCTCTGAACTCTCAACTCTCTCAATTAATTTTAAAGTGTCATCTCTAAGTGACAATTGCAATTGATCACCTATCTCTATTTTAGATTTATTTTTAGTTATAGTATCTTCATTAAATATAATATAAATAGTAATATACAAACGATATACTTTTTAAAATATCTATATACACTTATAGACATACATATATATATATATATATATATATATATATATATATAATTTAACTAAATTTTAATAAAAAAATATGTTAGAAAAAATTATCTATGACATGATTTTATTTTGTTCTACTAAATAAATTTTCTCTTAAATTTTTTTTCCCAACTTTTCTTCGTTTTTTCTCTACTCTATTTTCTTTTTCTTGATTTGTCCTAGTTGTGTCTAAACTCTCTCTATTTCTTACTCAGACTTCTCTATTTCGCTCAAATTATCGAATGACCATTGTTGATAGTTCTTCCTCATTGGATTCTTCCTCTCTCTACTTCTATGTTTGTACAATAGATCCTTGAACTTGTCACTACTCTCTTTGTCTATTTCAACACTATTCATTCTGATGATATTTCTCTATCTAGTAAATGCATCTATCTCGAAACTCTAGTTCTTTCACATTAATATGTCATACATACACAAACATTTGGCCGTAGTTATGATTTGAAAGGTTTTGTTATCATCAATTTGTATGTGTTATAGAACTGTTGAAAAATGAATATTATGCATTTTGTTGTTCTGTTCTGCTATCTCAGTCATCTTCATCCCTCAAGCATCTCTCTCATTTTTTACTATCATTTTAGATATCTTCGATGTTTCTTATCAGAAACGACAGCACCTTTAAGGTCATTTTCATAGGTGATAAGCCCATTCAGTCTCTCTTTCTCATATTCTCTTTCCTCTCGCTCTACTAGCTAATCTTCTCTTACTCTCATTTTCTGTTACATGACTTTAAGTCATTGATTAAATTATTTAATGATTGTCATTACATTTTGTTTTCTCTGTATTATGAGAGATCCCTATTAGTGATTCTAAGGATTTTAGTGATTTGTTTAGTCATTTTATGATAATTGTTATGAAACTTTGTTACTTGATTACAATATTTGTGATTTATAAAAAATTTAGAAATTTTTGCTACATCAATTAGTTGTGTTGTTACAAATTTTGTGATTGATGTTATAAAAAATTTTGGGTTGGTTATGACATTTGTGATTTGTAAAAATTTTGATTATTTTTATTATGGCAATTAGTGGTGCAATTACGCATTTTGTAATTGATTCTATTAAATTTTGTGAGTTGGTTATGACATTTGTGGTTTTTAAAATTTTTAGATGTTTTTGTTACACCAATTAGTGGATAGTTACATAATTTTTGGTTAATGTTACGAAATTTTGGGAATTAGTTACGACATTTGTGATTTTCTATAATTTTAAACAATTTTGTTACGCCAATTAGTGATGGCATTATGTATTTTGTGTTCTATGTTACAAAACTTTGTGACTTGATTATGATATTTGTAATTTCTAAAATTTTAAATATTTTTATTACGCCAATTAATGGTGTGATTATACATTTTGTAGTTGATGAGTAATATGGTCTTTTTTATTAATCTTACTTAATAAAAATAGATGAAGCATTTATATTAAAAATAAATAAATAAAATTTGAGTATAAATTGACAAAATTATAAATTAATAATTTATTTTATTATAAAACTCTATTCATAAATGTTTTAATTTTTTTTTATAATAATTATTACATAATTTTGGCCCCATGTTCTCCAAAAATTTGGAACAAACATCCAAATTTTGTTAAAATCAAAATTCCCTCATTAATTGTTTTTGACAAATCCCTAAACCCCTTCTTTAGCCCAAACAAGAGAGAGAGAGAGAGAGTAATTTCTGGACTTTGAGTGTACCGCGGGCCTGTGGGCCAAATTTAGCCCAAACAAGAGAGAGAGAGAGAGAGTAATTTCTGGACTTTGAATGTACCGCGGGCTTGTGGGCCAAATTTATACCCCTATATGTAAGTAATAGTTATGAGATATTTGATTAGTGGTTATGATATATGTGATGTTGGTTGTGAGGCAAATGGTGTTGGTTATAAGATGTGATTATGATATAAGTGGATAAAAATTATGAGATATATGATTAGTGATTATTAGATATGTGATTTTGGTTATGAGCAAAGTAATGCAGTTATAAGTCAAAAGTGTTTGGTTATGAGATATGTAATGTTGGTTATGATCAAAGTTGTGTGATTATGAGATATGTGATGTTGCTTATGAAATATGTGGGTAATGATTATAAGATATTTGATTAGTGATTATAAGATATGTGATTTTAGTAATGAGCAAAGTGGTGTCAAAGGGTGTTTGGTTATGCTATATTTGTTAGTGGTTATAAGCTATGAGATATTAGTTATGATCAAAGTAGTATAGTTATGAACAAAAAAGTTGTTAGTTATGAGATATGTAACTAGTGGTTATAAGATATGTAATGTTAATTATGGCTCAAAAGGGTTGGCTATGAGATGTGGCTATGATTTATGTAGGTAATAGTTATGAGATATGTGATAGATATGTGATATTGGTTATGAACAAAGTTGTGTGGTTATAAACAAAATGGTGTTAGTTATGAGATATGTGAATAATGGTTATAAGATATGTGACTAGTGGTTATGAGATATGTGATGTTAGGACCTCTGGACTACTCTGATTTCCTTTGCCCTCTTTTTGATAACCGGTTACACCGATTGTCAATTCAAAATTAAATTATTAAAATAATTTAAATATGTGGTGGTTATAAGATAATATGATATGTATGAATAACTAAATATAACTCAATTATGAGTTAATGTGATAATAGTTATGATCTATATAATATTAATTATAATATAAAATCACATATCTTCATAACTTATGCATCACCCACTTTTCAATACTCTCGTGTGAGAGGTTAGAATCTAAACCTCACTAGAGATGAGATAGAGTGGAAAAACTTTATCAGTGGTTTTTATTTGAACTATCCACGGGCTATTGCGGGTTTGGAATCTAAGCGGCAAGAGCGGGCAGGCTAAATATAAATTATAATTCGAATCTTAAAAAAAACAAAACAAGCACTCCAAAAATGTTATTATGGATGTGACTCATATCACTTCAATATAAGTTTAAATCCACACCATACACCTTATTTTCAAAATACATAATTTATCGTAACAAGAAAGTCTCCATTAATCATATCTAAGACATATTTGCAAAATTTCCACAACCAAACATAAAGTTCAGTGTTCAAAACGTACAAACAGCAGAGCAAAGCAAAAACAGCGTCGGAATCAATTTGGAGACTTGAATCTGGTGCACCACTTTAGGAGAAGCTCTGTGATGTTGGCATCCATTCGAGTCCCAATGCCGCCCCAAACCAACATGTGAGCAAGGTCTCCAATCGAAGAACCAGTCACTTCGTGCACAACCTTAAATCCAATTCTCTTGTAGAACCTAACAAGCTGAACACATCAAAAATCAAAAATTATTCTGTGCCATTAATTAATTTTTTTTAACTTAAGAGACCGAATGTCATTAAGTGAGAAAAGTGTTTGAATGGAACAGAGAAAATTAGAACAGATGACTTTGTGCCCTGTTTTCTTCATATATATTGTTAAGTCTATTTTTAAACCGCTTAAGCTTTCAAGAAAATTTGACGATCTTACATGTCAATACTACAGCTCAAGAACTGGGAGATTCTCAGTTCAAGTCTATCTCTGTTAATTGTGGATTATGTTTTGTCTGTTCATTAACCATTTAATTTTTTTGAATAATCAATGATGTAACACGTAGATCATCAAGAATGAAGCTTTTAGAACAATCAATAATGTAACAAGTATCTCATAGGGGATAATGTTTGGGCATTGCTCCATGTTCCCAAGGCTCTCATTGTAAAAATAAAATAAAATAAAATTAAAAAAAAAAATTTCATAAATACTCTCATTGTAAAAATTTGTTGTGATTAAAGCATGAACATGTGGATTTACTGGTACTAACCAGTAAAGAGTCTTGAGAACATGAAGTGATGAGACACAATTCTGAGGCAGCAAATCCACCTTAAACACAATAGAAGGGGATAAAACCAACCAAACTACTCAAATTCGACTTATACTCAGCTCCTTAAAAATTTCTTTGAGATTACAAGTTAAATTCAAACAATTTATTTTTTTATTGGATACTAAAAAAAATCAACTTAGTTCAGTTCAACTTGATTAAAACTCACTTAATATTGACTCAAAATTCGTTAAAATTTTCAAATTAAACTTAAACAATTTGTTACTCAACTTGAGTCAAGCATCTTAACAAAGAACTGGAGAACGAACCTTGGAATGGTAGAGCTCAGAGTCATTGATGGCAAGCAACTCAGCTGACCCACAACCACACTCATACCCATATCTGATAGCCACAGCTCCAATAAACAAACCAATGCCAAAGATCGACCTTTCCATCCCCAAAGTCTCTCTGCGCAACCTAATGGAGTCCAGGTGAAGAACTCTGCCTCCAAACCAGACCCTTATGAGGCCCTCGGCTCTCCCAAGCTCGTTCTGGGTTTCCAAGCTCTTGGCCGTGATTCTGAAAAAGGGTCCTAGGGTTTGAAGCTGAAGGTGAATGTTTTGGGCCTTTGAAGCTTCCATGACTTCAGACATGGTGGGTATGCTGTTGGAATCGATCTTCTTGTTGGTAGTGGTGATTTTGGAGAGGGAATTCAAATGGGGATTTGGAAGAGTGATTTGGGAATTTTGAAGGATTTGTGTTAATCCCATTTTTTCTGATTTTCTATCTCACAAAGTGTTTGTGAGACCCAGAAATGGAGATGAGTTTTAAGGAACAATCATATGAGTTCGTTGGTAAATAATCCGTTCTTGTAGTAGCTAAGAGCTATGGCTGCTTAGCTTAATTTGCTGTGTATGTGTGTGGCAGAGAAGGGGAAAGGGAAAAAGTTATTGGTTGGTTTGGGTACCATCACTTGGTGTGTTAATGGTGTTGTGAATGTTAGAAGAGGTGGCTCATAATTTGGGTTAGGTAATTAAAAAATATAAAGAGATACAGGGAATTGTGATTGACGAGAGATATGACTCTGTGGCGCCTTAGACCATTAATAATTTTTGAGTAAATTATACATACACCTCTTGAGATTTTGGTTTAATATATATAATATTTGAAAAATTACACGGATCCCTCTACCAATGTAATTATTTAAACGGAATTAATGTTGGTATCAAAAGACATTTTTGTGCCTAAATCTTTATATGCAAAAATTAATAAAATAATGTAGATATTTTGTTGCTAGTGTTTCAGAAAAAATAATAGCTGTTGTGATTGGACCATTTTCTTTAGGATATATTGGTAGTTTTAAATAGGATATAAGAGCATCTACAATGGAATAGCTAAAAAAGTGTGCTAAAGTGTGTTATATGACAAAATGTGATAAAAGTGGGGATCAAAAATGTGTGTTAATGTGTATTAAGAGTTTGTTAATTTTAGAGAGTGAGTGGTGGTGCAATGGATATGTTGAGGTGTGTGTTAAGAATAAATATATATATATATATATAAACAGATGTGCCACCCTTCTGCCAACTCTCTTTCCATCTTTCTCCAATGCCAACGGCTATATTTCACATTACCAGTGTTGCACTGCCAACGGCTATATTTCACTTCGGCAATGGCTATAATTTACAACAAACAAATATATATTGTATTGTCACTAACTAAAATGAACAAGTGATATATATTCAAATCAAGTGCATTTTTTTCCATCTAATTTTTTTCCCATAAAAACATCAATGGGCTCATCGTCTCAATTTATTCCTACCATGGAGTTTAGTTCTTCTACACATTTCAGTTCTTTAATCGATGATGATAGCTCATCCAATGGGGATCAAAAAACGGTTTCACAGCATTACAATAAATGTGTTCGAAAGATAAAGAATTTGCTTCTTCCGCCACAAATGCTAACACTAATCTCAAAACCAATTGAGAGGCAATATATAAGGCGTGATCATGAGAGAAGCGATCGACAAATATGGAGAGATTATTTTGCTGAGAATTGTACATATCTACCTAAGTATTTTCGTAGACGATTCCGAATGCGTCAAGAGTTGTTTCTTCACATTTTGAATGATGTTAAAGGGTATGATAAATACTTTGTACGAACAAATGATTATGTTGGATGGTTAGAGTGCTCTCCTATACAAAAAAATTACTGCGGTAATTCGTATACTCACCTATGGATTTTCATTAGATCAATGTGATGAGTACATAAAGATTGGTGAGACCACTGTTAATGATAGCTTGAAGCTCTTTTGTAATGCTATTATTGCCTAGTATGAGGAACAATACCTCCTCTCACCGAATGAAAATGACATAGCACGTTTACTTCAAGAAGGAAAGGTGAGAGGCTTCTTTATATGCAGAAATTAATAAAAATAATGTAGATATTTTGTTGCTAGGGTTTCAGAGAAAATGATAGCTGTTGTGATTGGACCATTTTCTTTAGAGTGCTGCTATTAGCACCTGCCAAAATTCTTTGGACCTCTATTTTATAATTTTTTTTATTACAATTATACCCTAAAGTAAAATTACATTAAAAGACATTATTAAATGGAATACCCACCTATCAATAAGAACTAATACTCTATAATATTGGACACCCACCTCCACCTCCAACTCCAACTATACGTATTCCATGTTTGTAAACCCTAAACCTATTACTTTTCATAACCCAACTAATATAAACCCTAAATCTATTTTATTTCATAATCATCTTAAATCTTGAATGTATCATCTTCATCACCATCATCAACGATATTGAACTTGAAAGTTTTGCTTCAAGTAAACGTATACTTCATCATTATTTTACTGTGTAGAGCAATGGAGGACGAGGACAACAATTCTAGTGAACCGGTGTTCCATTAATAAGTTTTATCTGTCTTGTATTAACATTCTCGGTCGTTTTCGGTCGTTCTTGTTTCGTTCGAGCTGTTCGGTATTGGTTTGCTGACTGTTAGAATTATGTTCGGTAATACAGTACTGAACATAATCCTTTCGTTCAATACATAGGTTCCGAACATTAATGCAGATAGTCAGTTATGTAATTTTCTTTGTTAAACTAACTTTAGAATGGAAAAGAGTGAATTGGAATGGATTTAAGTTATGTATTTTGAATGGATTTAATTCATGTTATTTTAAGTTGTGAATTGGAATGGATTCAAGTTACACAGTGATGAACAAATTTTGTTCGGACATACAGTGTTGACAGGATCATTATTGTTCGACAAAACAATTCTGAACAAAATACATTTTTTCGGCTACATAGTGGTGAACAAATTCAAAATCATCACTCAAATCTGCTGATCTCCTATCGAGATTCTTGAATTCAGGGCATTTAGATGAAAGCTTTAATCTGGTTCTTCTGGCTTGTCTCCAAAAATCCAGATGTAGAAACTGAGATTCTCAAAGAAATCAATGAGAAATCCAAAACTCCGATCTACGAAGAAGTGAAAGACATGGTTTACCCACACGCGTCGCTAAGCGAGACCATGAGACTCTACCCACCCATCCCTATTGACAGGAAGCAAGCTTTAAAGAACGACGTGTTGCCAGATGGGACAGTAGTGAAGAAGGATATGAGAGTGAATTAACATCCTTACGCAATGGGGAGGTCGGAGGAACTGTACAGGACCAAAGCTCCAAACTCTGAAGATTGAGTGAGTCAGGGAAGGAGAGGGATGAAAAATTAGGTGGGTGTGCATTTCATTGTGAAAATATTATGAATATGGGTAGATTTGGTAATAAGTGGGGTGTCCAAAAAAATATTATTAAAATTTAGGGTATAGGGTTGGGGTCTAAAGAAATGAGGGGTTCAAAGAATTTTGGTAGGTACTAATAGCAGTACTCTTTTCTTTGTGGTATATTGGTAGTTTTAAATAGGATATAAGACTACAAAAGATTTTTTTAGGTTCCAGTGGACAATTCAGTCACTTTTCCCTATTTTTGTTTATGTCATCAAGATTCTCTTGACAAGTCTAATGTTCACTTCAAGGTAAGGAAAGTTTGTGAAATAAAATTAATAATCACGTAAGTGAAAATGTAATTTTCAAAATATCGAGAAATAAGATGTAATCGCATCAAATCTTAAAGGATTTCAGTCTAATTTACCCATAATTTTCCGAGAGGGGGAAGGAGGAAGAAGGGGGAAGATGTTTGTTTATCATAAAATTACTTCTCTCGAATTGACGCGTGACAGATAGAATTTGAATAATGTTACCAAAAAGATGAGAGTGCAACTCATTCTGTGGGGTGCAATGTATGTGATTTTTGTCCCAAATTTTCAACAACACTGGTTAGCGTTTGGTTGAATCTGTGAAGACCCGTGTCATCAGATTAAAATCGATGATGAATAATATGCGAAAGAGAGATGATGGAAAGAAGCAAGCCCTAGTAGTCTCTAAACTCTCATCAGCCTTCCAGACTAAACATGTCTCGATGGGAGGGACGAGAATCCGACTTAAGACGCCACCGTTCCAAGTTCGATCGAGAACCCAGGTCCTCTCTCTTCTTTCAATTGCTCTCTCTGTCCTGTTTTACATTGCAAAAAATACAATTATTACATATGCTGGTGTTTCAGAGAAAATGATAGCTGTTGTGATTGGACCATTTTCTTTAGGATATATTGGTAGTTTTAAATAAGATATAAGAGCATCTACAATGGCATAGCTAAAAAAGTGTGTTAAAGTGTGTTATATGACAAAAGGTGATAAAAGTGGGGACCAAAAATGTGTGTTAATGTGTATTAAGAGTTTGTTAATTTTAGAGAGTGAGTGATGGTGCAATGGATATGTTGAGGTGTGTGTTAAGAATAAATATATATATATATATATAAACAGATGTGCCACCCTTCTGCCAACTCTTTTTTCCTCTTTCTCCAATGCCAACGGCTATATTTCACATTTACCAGTGTTGCACTGCCAACGGCTATATTTCACTTTGGCAATGGCTGTAATTTACAACAAACAAATATATATTGTATTGTCACTAACTAAAATGAACAAGTGATATATATTCAAATCAAGTGCATTTTTTTTCATCTAATTTTTTCTCATAAAAACATCAATGGGCTCATCGTCTCAATTTATTCCTACCATGGAGTTTAGTTCTTCTACACATTTCAGTTCTTCAATCGACGATGATAGCTCATCCAATGGAGATCAAGAGACGGTTTCACAGCATTACAATAAACGTGTTCGAAAGATAAAGAATTTGCTTCTTCCGCCACAAATGCTAACACTAATCTCAAAACCAATTGAGAGGCAATCTATAAGGCGTGATCATGAGAGAAGCGATCAACAAATATGAAGAGATTATTTTGCTGAGAACTGTACATATCCACCTAAGTATTTTCGTAGACGATTCCGAATGCGTCAAGAGTTGTTTCTTCACATTTTGAATGATGTTAAAAGGTATGATAAATACTTTGTACGAAAAAAGGATTATGTTGGATGGTTAGAGTGCTCTCCTATACAAAAAAATTACTGCGGTAATTCGTATACTCACCTATGGATTTTTATTAGATCAATGTGATGAGTACATAAAGATTGGTGAGACCACTGTTAATGATAGCTTGAAGCTCTTTTGTAATGCTATTATTACCTTGTATGAGGAACAATACCTCCTCTCACCGAATGAAAATGACATAACACGTTTACTTCAAGAAGGAAAGGTGAGAGGCTTCTTTATATGCATAAATGAATAAAAATAATGTAGATATTTTGTTGCTAGGGTTTCAGAGAAAATGATAGCTGTTGTGATTGGACCATTTTCTTTATGGTATATTAGTAGTTTTAAATAGGATATAAGGCTACAAAAGATTTTTTTAGGTTCCAGTGGACAATTCAGTCACTTTTCCTTATTTTTGTTTATGTCATCAAGATTCTCTGGACAAGTCTAATGTTCACTTCAAGGTAAGAAAAGTTTGTGAAATAATATTATTAACCACTTAAGTGAGAATGTAATTTTTAAAATATCGAGAAATAAGATGTAATCGCATCAAATCTTAAAGGATTTCAGTCTAATTTACCCATAATTTTCCGAGAGGGGGAAGGAGGAAGAAGGGGGAAGATGTTTGCTTATCATAAAATTACTTCTTTCAAATTGACGCGTGGCAGATAGAATTTGAATAATGTTACCAAAAAGATGAGGGTGCAACTCATTCTGTGGGGTGCAATGATGTAATTTTTGTCCCAAATTTTCAACAACACTGGTTAGACCATCTCCAACGGTTCATCAAACCTGGTATCAAATTTAAAATTTGATGAAAAAGTCACTTTTTTAAGCTCCAACGGTTTCACCAAATCGATATCAAATCCAAAATTCAGCAAATCTTTTACCAAAATGAGAACAGGCGAAGCATTTTATCAAATCACTGTTCCTAACCGTTGGGAGAGACCAACCGGTCAACCAGTCGGTTGACCAACCGGTCGACCGCCTAAAGGTTCAAACGGTTCGAAGAAAAGGTTCAAACAGTAAAAAAAAAAAAAAAATCAGTTAAAAAAAAAAAAAAAAAAAATCGCTTAACCGGTCGACCAACCGGTTATCCGCGGCACAAATTTAATAAAAGTACAGTGTTAGGAGCGAGTGGTATCAAATTGATAAAATGAATTATTTTTGACTCAAATTTGATGAAAAATCTGTGATGACCCGTGTCATCAGATTAAAATCGATGATGAATAATATGCGAAAGAGAGGCGATGGAAAGAAGCAAGCCCTAGTAGTCTCTAAACTCTCATCAGCCTTCCAGACTAAACATGTCTCGATGGGAGGGACGAGAATCCGACTTAAGAGGCCACCGTTCCAAGTTCGATCGAGAACCCAGGTCCTCTCTCTTCTTACAATTGCTCTCTCTGTCCTGTTTTACATTACAAAAAATACAATTATTACATATGCTAATTTGATGAACTAATCATCAAGGGATCACAATATAGCTTATTGATTTGGAATGTTTTAATGGAGAAATAAGGAGTTCACACACTTGTTGAAGGACCTTTGAGGGGTCTTCTCATTTGTTTTGGAAACCATACACAAGTTAGGGCTATATATATGTATATGCATATATTTGTGCATAAGTATGTACCTTATGTAACTGTCTGCAAATCAGGTTTTACATTCTTACTCTCATTCATAACTAGTTAAAGCTTTCATGCTCTGGTGGTCAACTTCAAAGCACTTATTCTTTTTATCAAGATAATGATGGCTATAAGTTCAGTATGTCATATACAACTTGAGATGGGATCCGATAATAACGTGGTTCATATTTGCCTTTGAATTCCTAGTACCAAAAAATCAACAAGGGGTGGAAAACCAGCCACTGAGAGGCCCTCTAGCAACCTTAATTTGGATCGTAGTGGCTATTCAGATAGGGATCCGAAGCACCATCAACGGCTGCAAGACACTTTGCCCCTTGAGGCCCCACCAGCACCCAGTTCTAAGGTAAAAATTGGGGCTGGGAGCAAAGCATTTGGAAAGCAAACCAATGGACAACATGACGGAACCAAAAATTCTTCTAATCCTACTCAAGTGCCACGGTCTCAATCATATTTCCAGGTGCTGTGAATTTATATCTAACAAGAGGTCACTTAGTTTTCAATAGGACTTACCCTAAAGATTGTTCTCATATGTTATTTTCTAGTTGATTGTTTCAGCTTTTACATTATACTTTTGAACTGATCTCAGGTTTCGTACCAAATTTTTAACCACACGGTTTTTATGGGATCTTTTCTTTGTCTTCAAGTAATGTTACACCCTCGTAAATTCGCAGTTGCTATAAATTTTATGGCCCAGTGATCATTATAGTTTTCTATTTAGAAAATAATTGATAATCACCCTAGACTGTGATGTTACCTGAGATTAAGAATACTTAGCAACAATAATATGATGGCAAATCACCGGTGGCGTGGTGTGGATAGTTTGTATACCACCTCTTAATGTTGTGTTTGATTGGGAGATTTGAGAAGGGATTTGGAAAGAGAAATGGAAAAGGTAGGTGAAATGTGAATAAAACATACCTATATTTTACCTAGTTTCACACGCCTTTTCCTTTTCTCTTTCCAAATTCCTCCCCAAATCCTCCAACCAAATACGGCATAAGAGTCAATTGCAAGGATACAGATCATGGTTGGCCATATGGGTAACACAGAAGAAGGATGTTTTCATGCATGGCTAGGTTTAACTTGTAGGGATTGAGGTGGTGAGGTGGAATTCGTAGAATTTTAGGTTGTGTTTTCGATTATGGATTTGGGTAGGGAAAAGGCAAGAGAAGCATGAATGAAATATAAGATAAATATTTTCTCCATTTCTCTTGCTTTTTCCTTTTTCCCTTTCTAAATCCTTACACAAATCTATGATCCAAACACAGCTTTAGCGCGATCTCATTCAGTTATTCTCAGGTGAAAGTTTTTCTAAGATACATCTTGACCTTATGGCAGTTCCTCTCATGATTTGAATATGAGATCCCATAGTTTATAAGTGCATCCAAAAAGGGGGTCATGCCTATGTAATAATAACAATAATTAGTATTTTAGAATTCTTTTGTTGACAATTTACTCTCATTGTGAACTGCATAGCACAGATAGTGAATCTATTTTTTCTATTTCCAAAGACTCAGGGTGTGTTTGGTTTGGTTTTGAGAGATAAATTTTCAAAAAAGATTTTGGGGAGAGAGTTTAGAATTTTTTTTGGTTGTTTAGTTGTATATTTTGGAAATAATTTTGGAGTATAGAAGTTTAGGATGATTTGATGTTTTGTTGTAATTGAGTAGATGCATGTGAGAGAATAAGTGATTGAGAAAGAGAGAGGAGAGAGAGAAAAAGTGATTGATTGATGTGTAGAAGAGAGAGAGTGACCAAACAAAATTTTGAAAATTTTTCTCCAAAGTTTGTTTCTCAAAAGCAAACCAAAAAAAGGCCAAGGCCTCATTCTTTGACTACTCGTCCTGAATTTATGATGTGGATCTGTTCATATTGTATAGAAAGTGGAATTTCATACTCTAATATCTATTTCTTTTATTTTGACTGTTTTTCTTGTTCTTCCATTAGTTTGGTCATTCTTTTCGCTATTTTATTCCTTGCAAACACGGAGAGCATTTGACTGATCTGTTGGTGATAGACAAAATGCACTTGCATACAGACACAGTGGGGTTCACTGCTTTATGTAGCCATACCTATGAGAACTTTTGGATGTACATCTGCCTTCATAATTGTCCTTAGTTGTTTGATTTATGCAATGCTTTTTGGATATATAGTTTTATGAATTTATTTTTGCCATTAACTGAAGCATACTAGTTATAACATTATATGCATGTTAGTTGCTTATGCAGTATTTTCTCGATTAACAGTAGCAAATAATTTGGAAGTCATATATTTTGCTTGTATTTTTCTTTTCAAGCCTATGAAATAATATTGGACAAACCAGAAGGACACATAATAAATAGCTATTGCAGTAATCCTTAATTATTTGCTGTCCTGAAAATTTTCTTGAGCTTCATTTCAGGTTAACTTAGAATGGCCTTTGCAACATCCCAAACAAAGATAATTTTGTTAACCTAACCAACTAGTGGTTCTGTTGAGTTTCTTTTTCGATTCTTACTAAGTGTATGCAAACCTTTTTTTTTCTGGCCTGCTGTTGCGGGATATTTTTCAGTGTCCAGTGCGTCGATGTATATAACAATCTCAGGGTTGCATGTGCATGTCTTATAGCAGCACGGTGAGCGTGGTAATGCCGCACAAGCTGGTCGAACCACTGGTTGTGGACCTGCTACCGGTGAGTACCTAACATCTGATGGTTAGAATTCTTTGTTTTCCCTTGAAACTCATGTTATCTATATTTGTGCTGAAACTGCTTGTGGTGTTACTTCTTTTCTCCTACTCTAATATTAATATGTTATTGTGTTCCACATCAAACTCATATAATTCGGTGTATTTGTATGCGTGTTACTGTGCATGAGAGAGAGAGAGAGAGAGAAACACTCAACTGTATGGCTAGAACTGCTTCTTATTTCAATGACGTGTTTGTTTTCCCTTCGTGTGAAGAGCGTGGATGGTGGAAGGACTCAAAGGATCAGCATATTGAAAGGTCAATGGAGAAAACATCAATTTGCGATACAAAGCAAAGAGTTGAAATATCCCAAGCTAAGGGGGTTGACAATCGGGTTTGGCACCATAATAGATTCTATGAAATAGAGGCAGATCGACAACCTCCTGCGAGGAAAAGACCCTCATTTAGAGAAAAAAAGATTCCAGCGGACTTTGAAAATGCTGACAAAGCAGGAGCCGAGCCGTTGAGGCCAAGCCGTCCTGATCAACCTTCATTAGGAAGCGAAAGAAGGGAAGAGAAAGGAAGCCACAACTGCCACTATTCAGACAAACCCGAAATGTCATTTTTAGGAAACAGGGAGGCAAACAGGGGAGAAGCACAGGGGGGTAGTTTTCCATTAAGAGATCGGTATGGTGGTGGCAGTACTTATAGGGGAAGAGGACCGAGCGGTGCACGAATCGAGAAATGGAAACATGACATGTTTGAGGAGGCTAATCGGAGTCCGACCCCGAAGAACGAAGATGATCCGATCGCCAAGGTTGAAGCATTCTTGGCTTCTTAGATATATGCAGTTGCTTGTGGATGAGTTTCAGTTTGTTTGTCATTCAATTGCATTGTTGCGTGTGTTTTATTTGTGATTTTAGTCTGTTTTTCTAATCATTTTTAATTTAAACAATAATACTCATGTTTTTGTTGTTTTAACTTAAATGGAGCTTAAAATTTGTCTAATTTTCTTGTGCACGATGTTAAATTTTCTCTGCATTTTGGGACTAGCATAAATAAAATGATATTTGCTAATTAATTTGCATAAATATATGCATATTGAACCACAATTTTGAGTTTGGGCTAAAATTTAGGGTACATCCTATTGATTTCTCCTGAAAGTTATATTGAACCACAATTTTGAGTTTGGGCTAAAATTTAGGGTACATCCTATTGATTTCTCCTGAAAGTTAGAAAAAATATAACAAATTTTATAATTTTAATATAATTACAGTGAGATGAAATATAACAATTTTTATAATTTTAATATAATTACATTGAGATATTTTTTATTATGGTTTTTATGGACCAAAGTTAATACATATGTCATGAAAATATTATTTTTACATCTATATGATTAAAAATTAATGTTTTTTTTATTAAAAAGTGGTTAGGCGCAATATTAATTAATTTTTTTAATAAAAAAACTAATGTAATTAAGTTAAACTTTCAAGATTAGTTATATTTTATAAATACTTTAGAAGAGGATAACCTTTTTTTTTTTTGTTTTGGGAAAGATTACTATTACTAGTTAAATTAAAATGGATATTAATGTCTCTTCATAAACACAAACTTAAAACTTCGCATGTTTGGGTTATTGATTTGTTAGGTTAAATAATCAAAAAGTCAAAATATCTAATTCTGTTACTCTATCTATTTTTTTTACACGTTTTTGTTAAATGTCAACTGAAAGTCACTTCCCAAGAGCTACTTAACAGTGATCTGTGGTGCCTCGGTGGAAGCTTTTTCGAGTTTTTTTCGATAATTCAAACCGTTCATATTATAGAGTTCGTTGAATAGATCATCTATGAAAAAAATCAAATTGACTAAAAATCTATAGTTTTATAGAAAGAACACATTTGTCTTTAAAAAAATAAACAGTTAACATTAACTTAATAATTTTTGTAAACACAATTTGAATTTGATCATGGGGTTATGGACTTCTAATTAACTTGATTTTTTGTATGAATGATATACTCAACAAACCTTACAATATAAACGGTTCAGATTATCGAAAAAAACTCAGAAAAATCTCCCACCGAAGTACCTTAAGTCACAGCAGGATTTCCGAATCCCCAAAAAACCCAAGCATAAAAAAAAAATTACAAAAAATTAGTTTTGACTCTTACAATAAAAAAAAAATTTAATTTTGTCAATTAAATTATTCTTTTAATGTATTTTTAATCTAAATTATTTATTTATTTTCATTAAGTAAAATCGATTGAAAAATAATCATCATTATACTCCACGAAAAAAATATTTTAAATATTTTGTATACACTCACATTGAATTTTAATAATTATAATATTTTTTAAAATTAATTTTACTTAACGAAAATAGATTGCTAATTTAAATTAAAAATAAAAATAATAGAGTTCAAGTTCACAAAATTAAAAATAAAAAATTTATTTTGTTACAACAGTTTTTGTTTAAAAAAACAAAAAAATAAAAAACGCACGTAAAAGGAAGTCCAATCCGAATCTAGGTAGGCAAGAGAGTATTTCGAGTCTCAAGATCTCAAATCAAATCTCAATCTAACAATATCTTTTACGTAAATGCAAGTCCTCTCCAGTTAAGGAAAGGATTACGCTTCCTAATATATATGGCATAACTATATATATATATGTGTGCAGAATTCTATGCATGTATGTACTTTTCCAAGCGCTCTCTCTCTCTCTCTCTCTCTCTCTCTCTCTCTCTCTCTCTCTACAGAGTGCCAAACCCATCTTCTTCAAATCGCACCATACTACCACTGCCAAACCCAGTTTCTTCAAATCGCATCATGATGTGTTCAAGAAAGATGGAAAGAGAAAAACCAGCAAACATGAGGGCGGGTTCAAGAAAGATGGGACGAGGTAACACTCACATTCAATCTTCAATCAATTTTCATCTCTTCTTCTTCAAATATATATATGAATTTTGATTTTCAGATGTGCACTAATGCTTGGGGCCTCAAAATGTCGAGGCTCGAATGCCTCGAAACTTTCTCTCTCTTCAACCAACGCGGGACTTTCTTCTCTCTTTGGTCTTCTTTTCTCTCCCTCTCTCTCTCTCTCTCCTCCATTGAAACCCCACAACACCGAACTCGCCCTCTCGTCCACATTCCCACCACCCACCATGAACGAGACATTCACAAAACACATCCACGTCGCAGACAAGGAAGAAAATTAAACGGAACTAACGGCAGCCATGTTTTCTTTTCTCCTTACTTCGTTCTTACTCCTCTCCTCACTCAGAATACCAACCTGATAGGATTTTCCCTAGAGGCTCATCCATTGACGGTGATCGACCAATACCCAACAAAGACGATGATCCTGTCGTAGTAGCTTCAGTGTGACATTGCCTTCGATTATAAAAGGAAATCTAACTTAGTTCACATTGCCTTCGATTATAAAAGGAAATCTAACTTAATTAAACGGAACTAACGGCAGCGGGACTGTTGTCTATATGGTGCAATTTACAAATTGGGAGTGGCCACAAATTTTGTGGCTCGAATAGTCTAAAAATGTTAAAACGATATTGTTTTGAGTATAAAACAATTCTGAAAATGTCAAAACGAAATCGTTTTGATATTTTCAGGCCATTTGAGCCACAGAATTTGTGGCCACCAAACATTTTCCTTACAAATTTATATATATATTGTTTGAAAAATTGATCGGTGATTAAAATTGGTTTTTGATGAATTCGTAGCAACATCAGTTCGCTGGGAGGCCAAATCCCGCGAACACAAACCCAAATCTCTAGAAGGGTACGTGGAGAGAGGCTTGTTTGATTCAAGGTAATGTACTTATTTTTCGTCTTCAATTAAAATTACCTTTTTATGCTTTTTCGTAATTTTTTTGGAAAGAGTTTTTATAGGTTAATGTTGTTATTACAGAGAAAAAATAAAAGAGGATGCGTTATTAAAAATTATTGAAGCTTTTACCAGTTATACCGGACATGAGATTGCACAAAACAAGTATGTTGATATTTTTTTTTTAATTATAATTTGAAGATGGGTTTTAATTTGCAGTATGTGGATAGTTTGATATTTGGTATGGTTATTCGTACAGATTCGCCACCATAATGCTTAGGTGCCTACATTTTATAAAGAGAGGATCGACTAGAGAGACTTGTTTGGCAACTAAAACTATTGGTTTGTTTAGCCCTTCTAATTTATAGCAAGTTTTTTTTTATTATTATTTTTAAAAAAAAATCTTTCAGTTTGTTATATAATTCTCTGATATGTGTAGGATTATTAGCGATGATTATTAGCCGGAGTGATAATGCACATGAATTATTTGAAGAATCACTTTCCACATGTTCCAAACCCCTTAATTTTGAAGATGAGTCTGCAAAAGTATATTCGCTATTCTAATATTTTTATTGGTACATAATCTTAGGACATATTTCTTGGTGAAAAATTTCTTGACAATGCCGTTTTAAATTTTTGGCACAGAAATTGAATTGTTTAGCTATGGTAACTTTTGTCGGTGCAAAAGATTTTTGGGAGATTGAAGAATCGATGAAAATTATATGGCAATTCATTCTTGCAAATTCGGGCTCCAATGTACGTATTTCATCCATATTTAATGTTGTTTCAATGATTCGAAACACAAATGTTTAAATACCTTTAACTTCATCGAGGTAGTTATCTGATGATGATGATGGGGCTCAAACTTAATAACTAACAGCTCTTTGTTTACCTTCTAGATAATTTTAAACGAGGAATCAGCATCAGTTTTAACTGCAACAATATTTGCTTGGTCATTCCTTCTTACTGCAATCGATGGATGGAACCTTGATAATAAATATTGGCAAGGGTAAGTCAAATCATTTTTATTTGTGAATGCTCATTAAATGAAATATATATATACTTCATTTAGGATAAAAAGAATCACTCTACTTGGTTTTAGTTTTTAGAATTCACTTTTCAGAAAAAATTATTTTTTTGTTTACTGCACTTTTTTGTTTTCACTAAATTTTTTTAATATTTTAAGTAATTTTTTTTAATTTTTAGATACTCCTAACATAAATATACTTAAAAAATATATTCTTTGGGAAAAAAAATCTTTAAAAAATTCACTAAATACCAAAAATACAAAAAATAAAAATAAAAATAAAATTCAGTACATTTTTCATAGTTTTGTGTATTTATTAATTTTTTAAAATATTTTTTCACAAATACTTTATTTTTTAGATACATCTAAGTAAGATGTATCTAAAAAAGTAAAAAAATTACTTGAAATTTTAAAAATATTCACTAAAAAAAGAACATGAAAAACAAAAAACTTAATTTTTAGAAAATTAAAACCAAACATATTGAGTACTTTATTTTATGCCGCTTTTCTTGATTTCTTGTGTTTTTCCATGAGTAAAAGCAAATGCATTGACTAACATAAAAAGAAAAAGAAGTTTTGACTTCCAAGCAAGACAGTGAGCCAGGTGAACCTTGCTTGGAGGGGTTTTTTTTTTGCCTACAACTATCATTGATATATCCAATTTCACTTTTGTATTTTTTTTAATCATCCAATGTTTGCCGAAGCACTTAAATGAAAGTTATAAAACTAAACAGAGTGTCTACATCAAATTCAATACTTCAACAAAGATGGCAAATGATTCTTGATTACAAGAATTCTAAAATATAAAAATATATATGCATTGTTGTTAACATGCACTAGTTTGATTTGATATGTCCATGTTCACCATTTGTTGTTAGCATGCACTGGTTTGATTTGATATGCTTGGTAAGATCACCATTTGTTTATCTTCCCAAACCTTATCATGATGCATCCTCTTTTGGATTGACATCAAAATCAAGCCCATTGCCGAAAATTTCTCAAATTGAATTTATTACTGTTTGCACCCTCGTCGTTTTATTATATGCTTTCTGTTAGCGGGAAGTAATATATGCATGGTATTGTAATTAATACAGGGCGATGTCCTACCTTCTGAATCTACTAAAAAGGGAAGAATCTGTGCGTGCAGCATGTGTTGACGCACTAGCCATTATATTTGAAAAGAATTGTGTTGAGAAATTTTCAATTGAAGCTTATAAGGCTTTTGTGCATAGTGCAATTAACAAAGTGGATACAAATATGGATCAAAAACAATGGAAGACTGACATTGTAGAGCAAATCAAAGAGGCATGCAATCAGAATTGGGAGATTGTAAGGCTTTTTGAGGTAAGGCTTTTTGAGGTGTTACTTGGATTCATATATGAAGGTATACTTCTCTTGCTTTGTGTTTTGCTCTGGTATATTAAATTTTTTATTTTATTTTTTTTTTAGGATGAAAATAGTTTGGAAACTTCTACAAATATTGGTAAAAATTGTCCAACATTTTCAACATTGTCGCAATTGACAAAGGTATCTAGTAATTTTTTATATGTTTATAATTGTCCGCTGCATATTGGGGTTTTGAGTGTTGGTATCTCTTACTAACTTTCCAAATTTACAACAGATGAAGTTTATAAAGCAATTTTTGGGTGATGGATTTGAAGTACACATGCAGGTTGGTTTTTCCTTTTCAATCATCTTGCTTTCATTTTCTTGGAGATTAGTTGTTGTGTGTAGTTCTCATTTAAAATCTATAATTCATGCAGGAAAATGAGCTCCTCCACCAAGTCTTTGATGTCACACCAAAAAATAATCCATCTGGTTCTGAATTGTATGTAGCTGAAATTGAAGAGGTTAGTTACAAAGCTCTTCAAGTCAAATTGTCCATAACTTTGTGTCGCTGAAGGAAAAAAGGGGGTTAAACTTACAGTCCAAAAAGGGGTTACACTTTCGGTCCAAATTCTTTGGTTTTAAAATATTCAATCTTGATACTTTATTGCTTTAATATCATTTTGATACACACTGTTAAATTTCTTTTTGTACTTTTTTCCGTTTTGATTGTCTTTCTTTTTTAGATTCAACGATGTATAACACATATTTGGTTATGTAGGTTAAAGTTAAATACTTCTCACCCCACATAAAAAAGAGCACTTGCAAGCAGGTACAACAGGTACCTTTTACATTTTAAGCCTCAAAAATGTATTTATTTATCTTAAACTTTAAAAGGATCTCCTGGATTTGGGAGGAATTAGGGAAATAGAAATTAAATGTTTAAAAGTGTTGTATACTAAAAGCTATTCTCAAGAATTTTCAGTAACTTGCTTCATCTGAGATCGAAAAATAACTTATTCCCTGTTCACTCTCTTAACAGAGGTTTGAGAAGTCACCTAATTCTTTAGTAAGCAAGGCAAGGACTCAATTCATGAAAAAACAGCGCATGCTGGCACAGGTATTTATTTTGTGTTTTAAACAATATTTTCCAATTAGTAATGCTAAGCCACTGACCAATTAAAGCAGTTTTAGTTTCTCAAAACCAAATGCTTTGCTTCTATTCTACCCTTGATTTTTTAAGCGAAAGTAAAAGGAAAAAGGAAATGAGAGAAATTAAAACTAAAATAATAATTTTACTTTCTTAAAAAAAATCAGAGGCTAATTTCTTGCCTTTGTTTGGTTGGGATGAAAAAATAAGAAGAAAATGAATAGTCATGTTGGTTAAACCATTCATTTACTCACACTGCAATGTAATGTTTTCGTGTGTAGGAGAAGAAGATTGATGACTTCAGAGATTAGGGACGTGTTTTAAATGACATGAACATACTTTCGAAGTAGCTACAAGCTTATGCTTATTTGAGTTTTCAGTAGTCGTATGATTATATATATCTCGCCCTGTAAAAAAAATGATAGTTTAAATTTTTTTGGTTATCATTGCTTGCTCAATTGAATTATTGTGTGAAGTTTTTTTTTTTTTTTTTTTTCCAACTATTTGATTTCCATAGATATGAAATTTATTTTGACATAAGAGTGTTGTTTGGCAATGGCTTGGTTGAACAAGGGATTGGTTTGTCGGCCTCTTTTGGCAAAGAGCTTAAAAACAATTTTTTGACTTTTAATCTCTTTTGGGTCACATCACGTATCTATTTTTTTTCCATATTTTTTCAAAAAAGGTCAAAAAAACTAGCTTTTAATCTGAGTTCTTTGAGCACATTTGATAAAATTTGGGATAAATTATATTTAGCACTGTTGTATTTTTGCCAAAATCTCACTTTGGTTCCTTTTTTTTTCATTGTACTAGTCAATCCATTATACTTTTAGTCAAGTTGCAATCTCACTCTTCTTTTTATTTATTGTTAATAAGGCTTATAGAAATTACAAGTAGAGAGATTAAAGTGAGATTTTTGTAAAAGTGCAAAGACTAAAGTAAGATTTTAATAAAAGTGTAAAAGTGCTAACTAGACCCCCCAAAAAAAAATAGTTTCTAAATTGTACTTATTTATTGTTTAATAAATTAAAATTATAAAATATCAATGTTAAAATTTAGGCAAAAACTAGTTAGTTAATTTTCATGTGACCTATTAACTAATGCATTAACTACTTTGCCTTCAATTTGAATCACACTATTTACTCTAATTTTTATTTAAAATTTACTTTGTTCTTGAAAATTTTTAATTTAATTACATGACTAATTTTTGTCTAATTTGACAAATTATGGCTTATGTGATATTTCCAACCAATGAGGGATTGCAACTAATGCTAAATGAGTTATTCTTTGTGTCTTAATTATTTAACAAAGTTGAGTCAACAAATTACACTGATAAGATTTTTATAGGTGATTAGTTTGAAACATTATATAAAAAATGTTACATATCGTTGCAAAAGTACAGAATAATCACTCCTAAAATTATGTGATAGTATTATTAATTAATAAGAAATTTTAAATTAGGGTGATAAAAATTACATAATTTAGTTAGTAAAAAATAAAAATATTCACTTAATTTAATTTATACTATTAAGAAAAATTAGTCATGTAAATTAATTTAAAATTTCAAGTACTAAAATAAAATTTGAATAAAACCGAGAAAGTAAAAAGTATGATCCAAACTGAAGAGAAAGTTAACCTATTAGTTAATAGGTCACGTCAAAATTAAGTGAATAATTTTTGCTTAATTTTAACACTAGTATTTTAGTATTTAATTTTAATTTATTAAACAAAACCCAAGTTAAATTCAAAGACCAAATTTTAAAGACTGAAATTGAAGTAAAATTTAAAAGGTAAATGGTTTTTTGTTAATTTTTTTAACTAGAGTTTACGAAATCATCATTTTAAAACTCACTTAAAAGTTTGAAGTTAAAATAATTACAATTGAAATATGATATATCAAAAAAAAATTTGAAAAAAAAAAGGTGCAAAGTGCAATTTGTTTGTTTTTATCTTTTGGTTCGATGCATTACATTTTGGCAGCTAAGGGTTGCTGAGTGAGTGGACGCCGAAATGACGTCGGCCTCCGCCCTAGCTGTCTTTTTTTCAGCCCTTGGACCTTCACTTTGTTTGGAGTAATGAACGGTAGTGGTTAAAACCTCACTCAGTTGATAGTTTTAAGTAGCAGCTTAAGATTATGAGCCAATAATGTTAAATTTACCATATTTTTATAAATATTTATATATTTATATATTTATAATTTGAGTTTTAGGTTGCTTAGATTGTTTGACTCTTTTTGCCTAAATCTGTTTAAATTTAATTTAAATTTTTTAATTTTTTAATTTTTTACCAAATTCAAATTAAATTTAAAAATATTTTACCTAAATCCTAACAAACGTTCAAACTAGACTTAAGTTACTGGGGTCGAGTAAATTAACCCACCCAACCTTTTATAAAAATAACTAGGGCAAATTATATATACCCCTCGAGGTTTGGCTAAATTACAGATATCCCCTGAGGTTTGAGAAATTACGAATTCCTCCCTGAATGCTATATTTGCATAAGAAATTAGGAGGTAATTTGTTATGAAATATAAACCTCAGGGGGTAAATTGTTATGAAAATACAAACCTCAGGGGGCGGGATGTAATTTTCGAAACTTTAGGAGGTATCTGTAGTTTAACCAAACCTCGAGGGGTATATGTAATTGGCCCAAATAACTACTATGTTGGGTTGGGCTAGTGACTTGGGGATGCACTTTGAAACCAGATTGAGATTGAGTCATTATTGCTACTAATAAAAATGATAATGAAAACTTGTTTGCAAACCCTTCTCGAAAACATTTTTGGATTTTTATTTAATTTATTTATAAAAACACTCATTTTTAAGGAAAACTTTTGAATTGTTTTCTAAATTTTTGAGCAATAAAATGAAAATGGAAGTTTTGAACACAAGGCCATGTTTTCTAAATGCTTGTATCCTCGTTCACTTGTATGCTCATTATTTTCAATAAAATATTAAACAAGATCATCATTAACATTTTACAATAGTCAATTTACAAATTTCAATTGACTGCCGAAAGCAAAACCTCAACTGTCACAAACACTACATTGAAAAGGTAACTAAAATTGAATTTACAAGAACAAGCTGACAAAATTCATGCAGTCAAGGTTTGGTATCGCAGATGATACTTGAGAAGCATGTCCACATCATATTTGGGAGATGTGAAGATAACACCTTGATAAAAAAAAAAATTAAAAATAAAAAGACCCCACTTCTAGCAGTCCAACAAAGCATCATTTCCAACAAATTGGTACACATGTTTTCACCTTTTCCAATCCATCCTCTGGCTTTAAACATCATCTTGATCTGCAAAACTGCTAGGGTAAGGAACCATTGATGCTTCCGCGACGGAAAATAAACATGCTGGCAGTGAGGATTTTTAGAACTATCCTTGTAAAGCTCTACAATTCGTATAAGTAAACAATACATCAATCATGTCTACATATTATTGAGAGAGAGAGAGACAGAGAGAGGCTATTTAAAAAAATCCGGTTTCGTTGTTTTAAAAACTTAAGAGTTGGCAATATAATTGAATGACGTATATAAAAGTTAATCTGGCTTAGGCCAAAAACAAAAAAAGAGAGAGAAATGAGCTGATGTACTTGAATTATGCCCCATTAGCTATTTTTAAAGTTAATTCACATTTAAAAAAAAAAAAAAAAAAAAACCAGTAACATGCGCTCTTTAGCTTTTCAATCACATATTGTCATTTTTTAACATGTTGTACCGACGAATAACATTCCACATCCCTATCAACATACAAAACCATTTCCATGTCAATGAAGAGCTGAAGACACTCCAAATCAACACAATGAAACGAAATTTGAAAAGAAGGATGGCCTTTGCTATAATATGCAGCTTGTAGCATGGAAGTAATCCAGAAAAATTCGGTAAAACCTAAAAGAATGTTAAAAAAAATGAATCGGGAATACAACATAGACCAAAATACAAGTTACAGCAAAGATGCGATTATTTTTCTTTTCTAAATCAAGTGGAATCTAATGCTTGAACTCTGATGCTGAGAAGAATCTTTTTTTTTGATAAATAAATGCAGAGAAGATTCAAACCTGAAAATTGGTCATATATCATAGACTAAGATCTTCAATGTCGGTTAAAAGACCAGCACTCCCAGTAGACCTCTTATCAGATTGGTTAACCACTAGTTGACCGCATGCGCCACTTATATCTTGGCCCATTTGCTTACGAATTGTTGTCCGTATGCTATAGGTACCCCTAAGTATTTTCTGGAATTTGGTAACCTTCTGTTCACTGCTGGTACTGAAATGACTCAGAGTACCAATTGGATTGAAAGGTATTAGGTTCACAACCTGCTAACAGCAGCACACGAGGGAATGCAATGTGAAGGACGTCAGAAATTTTCATAGCTCAAAGAATTCTATGACAGGAAAGGCAAGCAATATCTATAATGCAAAAATGATCAATTTAGCACTATCAAGCCAAACCAAACCAAACCAAGCCTAAAGTCCCAACAATTTAGCACTATCAAGATGGAGAAAATTTCACACACAAGCCAGAGAAAAATTATAAAGACAAGTGGAATATATGATCTCTAAACAGGGTTGTTTGAAGGAATCTGATTGATTCATATTTGGTCACTTTTTGCACCTGCTTTATGTAAAAAGGAAGATGATTACTTCAAAAAACTTGTTAGTCCAATTATAAGAGTTTTATTCCTTTACCAGGAGCAGGAGGTGATAAGTTAACATTAGTATTTAAAGTAAACTATACAGTGGATTGATTTGTGTCAGTCTCCTTGATCAAACCAAAAACTACTATTCGTATTTTATATTTTAACATAAATATTTTTAGTATGTTGACATTTCAAAGACATCAGATAGTGGATGTTTTTGTGTTTACCTGTTAGTAAATGGTTGAGTTTAATTTCAAATTTTCAATCTAATTAGAATTTACCCAGCCCATTGGCATCAACAATTTCATGTGAAAAGGCTGGCACGCACAGTAACAAAAATTCTGGAATTACATTATTGTGAATCTAAGTAGACAGCCAAGACAAAGATGATTCTGCTGAAGCTGAACTTATGTTATAAATTTCCTCTAATATAAAATGAACTATAGACTGTCATCAATATCATTTGTATATTTTAAAAGTACCATTTTAGAGTTCCTCATCTACCTTATATGCTATAAATTTCTGCTAATATAAAAGGAACTGTAGACTGTCACCAATATTGTTTGTATATTTCACAGGTACCATTTTAGAGTTCCTCATCTACCTTATTTGCTATCCACAATCTAACAATTGATTATGTTCTTGTACTACATATATTTCATGATTGCACAATTGAGTTTGTTCAAGTATGTCACAGCTCAGGAGATCACCCAAACATCTAATCAGCAGAATAGAATATTTGTAAGGTGTGTTCATAGTGCTATATAAACAGAAGGACAATTCTGACACCAAGACTTCGAGCTCACCACTTCAAATGTCTCTAACAATTTGCCAAGCTGGTGGGCATGCTGCTCTTCATCATTCACCCCATCAAGCATAATGTACTCGATAAATATTTTTTGCTGACTAAGAATTAGACCAAATGAGTATAGTGTGACTTTGCAATGACTTATCAAAAGTCCAATATATAGAAATGTAATAACATTTTGATACTTTCTCAAAAAAGAATGTGATATTAAAAAAGTTCCACCTGTTCTTTTGATATTCTCGCAGAGTATCCATAAGTCTTTCCAAAGGAAAAGCCCGAGCTGCAGGCATTATCTGACAACGGATATCTTGAACTGGTGCATGCAGTGACACTGCTAGGTTCAAGTTTGGTATATCGTTCTGGAGCTTCTTAATGGCATGTATAATCCCAACCTACAGCAAATTAGTCAATCACTGACCATATAATTTCTGACACAGCTGTCAACTGATCACAAATTTGCAATTAATTTCAAGAATAATGTATCATAACTTGGCCATGGACATGTGAGTTGCTGGACAGTGCCCAGACACGTCTCTAGGGTGTTGCTTGCAATTTTATAAATTATGTTCAGCATAAAAAATGAGAGACCAAAAAGTGAGAGGGTCAAAAATGGAAAATGGAAAATTATTGCCCTGATTGGTCGAAAGCTTCTTTGACTTCATTCTCACACCATAGTAAATGTCCGAGTGATAGTGGGGCAGACAACCACTACTACAATTCATGTCCTAACAAGAATCCCCTCACAGGACATGCCAGAAGAGTTATCTCTAAAATACACCCACATCTTGGAACCCAAATAGGAAGGATCTCATTGACACAATAAAGGCAGATGATCAATAATGGACTTGGTGAGTTAATTTATTCATGAAACGACAAAAAGTAGTAAGCATAGGATCAGCATGTACTGCATACCGTTGATACAGTAATTCTCTTTAGTGACAGCCGAAATGGAGATCCTGTCATGACACGGATAGCCTCCACCAAAGCAGTATAGTTATTCAATGGTTCCCCCATTCCCTGCCCACAAAAATGAATAAGCATGGAACAATATAATGTCAACCACACTATAATCATACTTCTAAAATAGTATGGCCAGAAGTCTGACAAACATACTAGCCAGCAAATAAAAACAGAAATAATAACAATATCAGTGTCGCAATTTTAATATCACTATAAGCGGTCAAATTAAAAATATATATATATATACATCCATACATGCATACATAGTTCATTGAGCAGCACTATCATGGAGCTATAACTTATTAGTGCCAAATTAGTTACTCAGAAGTTAGAAGAAAGGAGGCCTTTTATTCGTTTCAAGTGTTTGTGTATAAGGTTTGAGTGGTGAATAATCTATGTTACTAAAGTAGATGTTAAAATTATTGTTTTACCCATGCACCACCACCACCATGACGATGTCCACCACCTGCAGCTGCTGCACAAACACCACATCTATAACCAATCCATACCCATAGAAAGGCCACCACTATAGATTCATTGCTTAAGGCAAAGATTATCTACTCCAGTAGAAGCCATTACCTCATCAATCAAGGTTACTGTCACTACACCACTGCAATCACCACCTCAATTGTGGTCACCTCACCACTGGCATAGTGCCATTCTATTTACTTAAGTGGATCCATGCACCGTCATCAGCACAGCAATAAAACACCATTGAGGTACATTACCTCCGCTGCTGCTGCCACTGTCAGCATAGAACCACATTGTACCATTTTTTTAACTGAGCTTCCAGTTTGTTTTTCTTTTACTATCAATGAACAGACAGGCATTGAACTTTTGTTTTTGATAATGAAGCTAAAAAAATTCACCAGGGGGAAGATGAAGCTAAAGGAAAGAGGAAGAGGAAGAAAGAAAGAGAGATTGCTTCCATTGTGTCTCAAAGGGACTTTGGGGTAACTCAATCTAAATGGTGCCGTTATTTTCTGTTTCCAAACTGATGTTTTTCTGTAAGATCTAAAATTAACTGAATAAAAACCTTTGAACTACGAGATCACATATTTGGAATAACTTAGTGACGCTGCCTCTATAATTTGAAGCTTGTAGAGAGCAACCAGCTAAGAGTTTGATAGGATATCAAACCTTGTTTATATAAATGAAGATTAAAGTTTGTAAAAATTACAAGATGAGCCCTGAGGCATAGAATAATTACAAACCAATAACTCAGATAATAATATAATATGCTAACACTCCCCCTCAAGCTAGTGTGAAGATATGTCTCATGCCCAGCTTGCTTAATATGTCATGAAATGACTTATTCCCAACCCCCTTGGTGAGAATGTCGGCAAGTTGTTCACCAGACTTGACAAAAGGAGTACAAATGGTACCACTAGTGAGTTTCTCCTTAATGAAGTGGCGATCAATCTCAACATGTTTTGTCCTATCATGTTGAACTGGATTGTGAGCGATGTTGATGGCGGCCTTATTATCACAGTATAACCGCATGGAGTCCGTCTGATCAATACCTAGATCACTCAACAATAACTTGATCCATAAGAGTTCACACACACACCTTGTGCCATAGCTCTAAACTCAGCTTCTGCACTTGACCTGGCAACCACATTCTGTTTCTTACTCCTCCAAGTAACTAGGTTGCCTCCAACAAAGTTGCAATACCCTGAAGTCGATCTCCTATCAGTTACTGATCCAGCCCAATCAGCATCTGCATAGGCTTCCACACTAAGATGATCATACTTTGAAAAATAAAGACCCTTACCAGAAGCAGACTTCAAGTACCTCAAGATTCTCGTGACAGCCTCAAAGTGAATCTGATAAGGAGCATGCATAAGTTGACTAACCACACTGACAGCAACAGCAATATCAGGACAGGAGTGAGATAGGTAAATGAGCTTAACCACTAATCGCTGATAGCTCTCCCTATCAACAACTTCTCCTCCTTCATCATCCCCCAATTTCTGATTGGGTTTCAGTGGAGTGTAACATGCTTTGCAGCCAAGCATCCCAGTTTCCTTCAATAGGTCAAGCACATATTTTCTCTATGAGATAAATATCCCATCCTTGGAGCGAGCAACTTCAATTCTCAAAAAATACTTCAAGCTTCCCAAGTCTTTGATTTCAAACTCACTAGCTAAATATTTTTTCAACAAACGTATTTCCCCACTATCATTGCTCGTAAGAACTATGTCATCTACATAAACAATAAGTATTGTAGTCTTACCACGTGAGGAATGTTTCACAAACAAAGTGTGATCTGCCTGACTCTGTTTGAAGCCATATTTAAGCATAGCTTGAGTGAATCTCTCAAACCAAGCCCTTGGAGACTGTTTAAGACCATAGAATGACTTCCGAAGCTTGCATACTTTGCCTTCTATCTGATGATCCTCAAACCAAGAGGAATGTCCATATATACCTCTTCTTCAAGATCACCATGGAGAAAGACATTCTTGATATCAAACTGATAAAGCGGCCAATCCAGATTAGCTGCTAGAGAGAGAAATACTCTGACTGAATTCATCTTAGCCACAGCTGCGAAGGTCTCCTGATAATTAATGTTATATATCTGAGTGAACCCTTTTGCTACAAATCTTGCCTTGTAACGCTCAAAAGAACCATCTGCTTTGTGTTTCACAGTATATACCCATTTACATCCCACAGGTCGTTTGCCTGTAGGTAACTCAGTCGATTCCCAAGTGTCATTCTTCCTAAGTGCTTTCATTTCCTCAATCATGGCTAGTTTCCACTCAGAGATAGCAAGAGCATCCTGAAAATGGTTAGGAATGCTAACAAAGGAAATATTTGACACAAACGCTCTATATGAGGATGACAAATGAGAGTAGGACACAAAATGTGAGATAGGATGTTGAGTACAAGATCGCACACCCTTCCTCTTGGCAATAGGAACATCAAGATCAATGGCCTCAATAGATTCAAAGTTACCTAGACTCTCATCAGAAGCAGGAGATGGCAGTGGAGGCGCAGAAGTGGTCCCTTGTATCAAGTTAACTTTCTATTTATCTATGTCCCGGACATACACATCCCTATCCTTGGTGACATTGGGTTCTATAGTCCTAGTAGAAGAGGGTGGTACAAGAACAACTGGTTCCACCATAGGAATCACAGGACTCACTTCACACCAAGGCTCCCCCGGAAATGAGGACTGGGACACCGAAGAGGACAAGAAATAGGACTGGGACTCAAAGAAAATAACATCCATGGACACAAACTACTTACGAGAAGGAGGGTGGAAATACTTATACCCCTTTTGAGTAGGAGAGTAACCAAGGAACACACATTTGAGGGAGCGAGGGTCCAATTTACCAGGAGTAGGAGAGTGATTATGAACAAAACAGACACAACTAAATATTTTGGGAGGAATAGAAAATAAGGACTGGAAACCTAGAAGGACGTGAAAAGGAGCTTGTTTTTGCAAGACCTGGGTAGGAAGACGATTAATAAGATGTGCAGCGGTGAGAACAGCGCCGCCCTAATAAGGCCGAGGCACACTCATAGAAAAACACATGCACTGAGCCATGTCAAGAAGATGCCGATTCTTGCGTTCCGCAACCCCATTTTGTTGAGAGGTATTGGTGCAAGAGGTCTGACGGATAATGCCGTGAGTAGAAAAATATTGTCCTAACCCAGAGTCTGTATTCCCCGCCATTATCAGAACAAAATAGTTTAACAATGGCCCCAAACTGAGTACAAATCATCTTATGAAAATTACGAAACACAGAGAAAACCTCACTCTTATCTTTCATTAGATACACCCAAGTAGTACGAGAAAAATCATCAATAAATGTAACAAACCATCGATGACCTTTTACAGACATAACACGAGAGGGACCCCAAACATCAGAATGTATTAATGAAAAAGGAACTAAACTTTTATTAATACTGGGAGCAAAAGAAGCTCAGTGTTGTTTTCTAAGTTGACAAGTCTCACAAAGAAATTCAGACACATGATAATTTGCGAAACCAAATGGAAATAAATGCTTAAGTAAATAAAAGGAAGGATGCCCAAGACGCCGATGCCACAGCCATAACTCAGCGGGGGTAGTAGAAGACGTGGTGAAAGAATAAGCAAGCTTGTCCGGTTAATCCAAGAAGTAGAGACCTGTGTTACATGGACTCGGCACTTTGGGGCGAAGTACCCATGTCGATACGACACGGGTACGGGTGTGGGATCTGTGTCGGATTCGCCTGTTCTCTCTCGGACACGGCTCATCACAGAAAGCAAAAGAAATGAAAGAGGAGAGAGCAAGTGAGAACTTGGTCGAAGCTCCATCTAGTCGAAGATCGAAGACCTCCAGTCTCGATCCAGTCAATCCAGTCGAAGATTGAAGCTCCATCAGTCGATCGAAGCTCCATCTGGTCTCTCTCTTTCTCTCTCGCCTTCTCTCCCTCCCTTGCAATCGCGATCGCGATTGCTTCGCTTTTCTCCCTCTCTCTCTCACACATTTTATCTTCTTCTTGATTCAGATCTGTCTCGCTATCTATCTATTCGTATCTATCTATTATTATAATAACTATAATAATATATAATAATAATAATAAATAACTATAATAATAACTATTATTATTATATATTATATAATAATTATTATATAACATATAATATATTTATTAGATAATATATTTATTAACTATTATTATTATTATCTATCTATTATTATAATAACTATAATAATAACTATTATTATTATATATTAAATAGTAATTATTATATAACATTAATATATTTATAAGATAATATATACTTATATATATATTAATAAAAAAAATAAACACATGTATGTAAAATAAAATAAAAAAATGAATTAGAACACATTATTTAAAAAATATAATAAATAAATAAAATAATTAATATATATTAAAATGATATTTATAAAAAATGTATATATAATATAACTCATCTTCATAAAATAAATATATATTTTTTTAAAAAAACTATTTAACGTATCCCCGTATCCGTATCCAAATTGGGATACATATCCACGTATCCTTAATTTTTAATTTTGAAGTGTCCGACCCTTAGATAGGCACCTGCACCCGATACCCGTACCCGAGTCCGTGTAACATAGGTAGAGACCATTTTCTGCACTACCACTGCCAATCGTCCTCCTTGTGACAAGGTCCTGAAAAAGACAATGATCAGGAAAAAAACGTCACACTACAATTCAAATCCTGGATAAGACGACTCAAGGATAACAGATTAACAGAAAAATTGGGAACATGAAGAACAGAAGATAGAGGTATGGTAGGAGTGACTTGGACTAAACCTTTCCCAGAAATGGAAGAAACAGTACCATCTGCAATCCTAACTTTGTCCTGACTTGAAAAGGGCTTATAGGCAGAGAAAAGATCAAAGGAGCCAAACATATGATCTGAGACACCGGAATCAATAATCCAAAACAAAGACTTATGACACAGGAAAACACAAGGCGAAGAGGCTAAGTTATCTGAACGGGCAAAGGACGAGGAAGCTATACTGAGAGCAGTAGAAGACCGGCGGTCCAATAATTGGCGCAGAGCCTCCTCAAGCTCAGCATCAGAAGCTTGGCCAACGGAAGCAGAATTAGAATCAAGTGTACCAACGGCACTAGACTGATGAACCCGGAAATAGGAGCCACGTCCTCTAGACTGGCCTGACCGACCTCCTCTAGAACTAGACCGATCACTGCAACCCCCGGATGGAATCCCATGAAGCTTCCAACACGTCTCACAAGTATGCCACGGCTTCTTACAATAATCACAGAATACAGACTCCTTAGCAGCAGATGGAGGGATGGGAGTCAGGCTGGGGCCATCTCGAGGGGTAGACAGCAATGCTGAGCGGTCAGTAGAGACAGGCGACATCATAGCAGACCGGCGACTCTCCTCATTCTGTACATAGGCAAATGCCTCCTGCAGTGAAGGAAGAGTGTCCATACCCAGAACTCGACCCCTAACTGGATCATACTCCACATTTAGGCGTGCCAGAAATTTAGAGACCCGTTCCTGTACGATGAACTTCTCGTACCCGACAGAATCAGCAGGGCAAACAGGCTTATAGTCTTGCAGGTGATCAAGGTGTTTCCAGCCGTTGGTGAGAAAGGTGAAATATTAAAGAACAGTCTGCTTCTCCTGAAGAGAGCTCTCAATAGAGAGGCGTAACTTAAAAGCCTGTGAGAAATTCCCTTTGCGGGAATAGGTGGCAACCACAGCATCCTAAACATCTTAGGCAGTCTTCATAGACAAGTAGCCCTCACCAATTTCTAGAACCATCGAATGAATAAGCCAACCCATAATCAAAGAGTTAGTAATCTCCCATTAGTCATAACCCGGGTCAGTGGTGCCAGGTGTCTGTATCCTGCCATCAACATGCCCCATCTTCCCTCTGCTCTTCAAAAATATAATCAAACTCTGAGACCAAGCTAGATAGTTCTGACCATTAAATAGAGAGGTGGTGGTTTTCAAACTAGGGTTGGGGTTATCAGACATGGTAGTAGGTATAATGGGACTCTCACTCCTAGGTGTTTGAGAGGTAAGGGACACACTGGTGAAATCTGCCATGGATACTATACTACCGAACCCGTAACAAAACTAATGGCAATCACAAACCCGGAAGGTGGTGGTGAAAGAACAGGCACAATGACCACTATAAAGGCATAACAAAATTAATGCAACATAAATATTATATATATATATATTTTAAACAAACTGTGTTGAAGATCACACTGAGCCTATACACTACATATCAGATAAGACCAAACAGAGGGTATACCAGAGACGGAAGATGAGGCGACAGAGGAGATTGATCAACTGAAGATCGACGAAGGATGAACTAAAGATGAGCAGAGGAGATCGACTGAGTGACGAAGTGACGAAGTGATCGACTGAAGTGACGAAGCAGAGATCGACGAAGTGACGAAGTGACGAAGTGGAGATTGACGCAGTGACGACGTGACCAAGCAGAGGAGATGAGCGACAACTAAAGCTGCTCGATGGCATAGGAGAAGTCGACTCCAGCAGATGACCAACCCAGGTAAGTCTCGAACCCTAGAGTGATCGTTGGTGCTAAGTTCGACCAACAAGGGTGAGCCGAAACCCTAGAGGCTCTGCTCTGATACCATGAAGCTTGTAGAGAATAACCAGCTTAGGGTTTGATAGGATATCATCCCCTATTTATATAAATGACGATTAAAGTTTGTAAAAATTACAAGATGAGCCTTGAAGCATAGAATAATTACAAACCAATAACTCAAATAATAATATAATATGCTAACATAATTCATTTTCAATCTTTTTGAGTCTCAAAGTATCTAAAAATATGTTGCAATTGTTTCCACAAATTCTAGTGGTCTGATGCTTTGGCATCTTAAAAGTGGCATACTAACCTCGTTTGGGATGCTACATTTTTAGCCAATTAGCCAAAAAGTTACTAAATTAACCAATTAGCCAATTAGTCATACCAAAAAGTCAACAATTACGACTTCTCTCTACTTTTTGCACAGCTTTTCGTAATTAGTCAAAAAGTCATCACAAACATACAAGTTTTTTTTATCTACCTTTTTAGCCAATTAGCCAAAAAGTTACTAAATTACCCTATTCCCAAACGAGGCCTAAGTTTCTAACTAAAAAGGTTTAGGCTCAAAAGAATCCCTAAGGGCTGAGAATATAAAATAGAAATAAAAACACATTCAAAGATGTACAAACATTTGACATCGAACATCAGTAAATTTCTAATATGGCAAAACCAATGCTGTAAAAAGAGAAAAAAATGAACTAATGAAGAAATTATCAAAAGGAAGAAAATACCATGAAGACAACATTGCGTATCTGTGATAAGTGAGAGGCATGCACCAATTGTTCCACAATTTCTCCTGAAGATAGATTGTTTTTAAATCCCATGCTTCCAGTTGCACAGAATTTGCAGCCCATTTTGCAACCAACCTGTAGAAGAAGGAAAAAAAATTAAAAAAATAAAAAAATAAAAAAAAAAAGAAAGAAAGAAGTGAATTTGTTGTTGTTACTTGAAAAAAAAAAAAAAAAAAAAAAAAAAAAAAAAAAAAAAAATATACTATAGTAATGGCTACTTGGTAGGCTTTAAAATGACAAATGCAAACAAAAAAACACCTTCAAAAAGAGTGAGCCAGTCTCATGTTTGTACAACCTCTCAAAACGATACATTGAATCTAGACTAGAGATAATTGTGAGCTATCTAGAACTTGCCAACTTAGCACTCCCATCTTGGCATTGTTTTTCACAGCAAAAGTGACCAAACTGGAAGGAAAACTTCCTCCCGTGCAATTAAGAAAGAAAATTACCTGAGAGGATATGCACAAGGTTGACCTCAGACCACCAGAACGAGGTTGTCCACCATATTTTCCCAAACGTGTGTCATACCTCATTATCACGGCTTCCACAAATGCTCCATTCTGATAAGAGAGAAAAAAAAAACCCAAAAGGCCTATCATCTAGAAGAACTAATAGCCCAACAGACACTACTATACTAATACAAAAGTATATTAATATCCATTCACTTGTTTGCAAGGGAAAAACATGTACGCTTGAAATAACTACCCAAGGCCAAAATTAGCAAATAAACCTATCTAATCAAGATGCAAAAATGATTAAAACTGATGAAATGGTAACACTGCATTAACCACTGAGAAAACAACAAAAGCCCAAAAATATGGAGAAAATTTTATAAATATTGATCATTGGTGAAAAATGCACAAAAATTATTAACAAAAAAATGGAACAGTATACAGAATAGAACTACACATATTGTGTTTCTAATAATGTGGATATATTAACATTAACATCAAAGATATCATTTTTTTTTTTTTTGGGATAAGTTAAAGATATCTAACTCCGTCGGGGTTGTTAACTCCGCCGGGGTTGTTAACAATTTCGCCGATCCCAAGCCCGAGTTAAGGAGGAGGGTTGTGTGTTAGGTAGCCGACAGCCAACACGTAAAAAAATCGCTCGGATCCCTTATGAAAATGAATCCTACTTTGAATCGTTTAAATGCTAGGTCGTTCCCCTCAAGTGGCGCGTTGCGTCTGCCTCCGGGTGTTCCGAAAAGTGAGCAAGGGGCACCGTATCGACGCCTGGGTGCAGTGAAAAATGGGCAAAGGTTTCCGCGTTTTTCTGGGCTAGCGCAGGTAAAGAAGATAATCCATGACTATAGGTTTAGGGTAGCCACTTAGAACATAGGAACCTTAACTAGTAAGACGATGGAATTGGTAGATGTTATGATTAGGAGGAGAATTAGTATAGCTTGCATACAAGAAACTAAGTGGACGGGAGAGAAAGCTAGGAAAATTGAGGATACCGGTTTTAAACTATATTATAGTGGTAAGGACAGACGCAGGAATGGGGTAGGAATTATAATTGCCAAGGGTCTTGTGGAGAGTGTAGTGGCGGTCACTAGGAAAGGGGATAGGATTATGCTAGTTAAACTAGTTATTGGAGGGAATACAGTGAATGTTCTTAACGCATACACCCCTCAAGTAGGATTAGATAATCAGACCTTAGTTGCAGGAATCGTGCAACCAGGTGGCAATTCTGAGTAAGAATCGCGATTCCGCGTTTTCTAGAAAGAAACGTGTAAGAATCGCGTTTCTGTGGAAAGAAACGCGATTCAGTCAAAGATGGGATCGTAAAAGGAAGAGAGAGAGAGATAGAGAAACCTGGTCTCGCCGTCGATCTGTTACATGGATTCGTTGGTTTAAGGCATGGGTTTCTCGGACACGGCTTCGATCTGTTACATCGCCTTTGATCTGCTCACGATCTCCTCTTCACTCTCTGTCTTCATCTCTCTCGATCTCCTCTTCTGTCTCTCTATCTTCTCTTCTTCAGCATCTCCTCGTCATCGTTTTCTTCTTCTTCTTCTTCTTCTTCTGTTGAGAAGGAGGAGGAGGGGCAAGGAAGGTGGCGACACTGTGGAGTTGGCGGCTGATGATCTGGCCAAGGATGGAGAGGTCCTCTTTGACGCCGACGGTAGGGCTGTGATCGTCTTCTGATCAGCATTTAAAATCCCCTCATACAAATAATTATAGATACAATCCGTATATAGTTACTGCAGTACCCTTTTCAACTTCTCCCATACAATATGATTAGTGATTGGATTGTTAAATTATTTTTTAAAAAATGTAAAAAAAATAATTTGTATATTAAAATATATATATATATATATTACCGCTCCCCGAGGCGCTCCTAACCTAAGAAACTTCTATCGACTCAAGCTTTCCCGCTCCCGCTTCATGCAACTAAGGATCAGACTAAAAGGGATTTTTGGAAGCAAATGGATGAGATCTTAACAGGAAATACCCGTAGAAGAGAACCTGGTTATAGGTGGAGATTTTAATGGCCATGTAGGCATAGATAAACTAGGCTACGAAAGGGTGCATGGTGGATACGGTTTTGGTGACAAAAATGAGGCTGGAAAGAGTATCTTACATTTTGCGTTGGCTTCTGACCTGGTGGTGGCCAATACTGTGTATAAGAAGAGGTAGGAGCATTTGATAACCTTTAAGAGTGGAGTAGTTAAGAGCCAAATAGATTACTTCTTAGTGAGAAAAGTGGACCGTCTAAAATGCAATGATTGTAAAGTGATTCCTGGAGAGAGCCTGGTCTCTCAACATAGGATTTTGGTACTAGATTTATGTTTCAGAGGGCAATACCAAGCTAAGAAGGATGGTGGGCGTCGTAGAACAAGATGGTGGGACCTAAAAGGGGATAAACTAGAAATATTTAAGAATCGAATGGATAAGGAAAGTACTTGGGACTTAGAAGGTGATGCTAACACTATGTGAAACTCGATGGCCAATTATATGAGAAGAATCTCAAGGGAAGTGCTTGGAGAGTCGAAAAGAACGGGACCCAACTCTAGAGAAACTTGGTGGTGGGGAGACGAGGTTCAAGCGGTAGTTAAGGCAAAAAAATAGTGCTTTAAAAAGTGGCAGAAGGATAGAACTGAGGAAAACCTTAAGAGCTATAGATTGGCTAATAAGGAGGTCAAGAAAGTAGTGAGAGAGACTAGTTGAAAGCTTATAATGACTTATACACTAGATTAGATAGTAAGGAGGGAGAGAAGAGGGTATACAAACTTGCTAAGATACGGGAGAGGAAAACAAGAGATTTTAATCAAATAAAGTGCATCAAGAGTGAGGATTCTAAGGTATTGGTGAAGGATGAAGAGATTAAGAAAAGATGGAAGAATTATTTTGAGAAACTATTAAATGAGGAACATGAAGGTACGGCAATAGGGGAAGAAATAGCCAGTAATACGATAAACCAAGACTATAGGTTCTATCGCAAGATTAGGAATTTTGAAGTGGAGATTACACTTAAGTAGATAAAATCGAATAAAACTTTAGGACCCGATGATATCTCTATTGAACCTTGAAAGTATTTGGGTAAAAAAGGAGTTGCTTGGTTGACTAGATTGTTTAGCAAAATTTTGTTGACTCAAAACATGCCAGATGCGTGGAGGAAGAGTATTTTAGTGCCAATCTATAAGAATAAAGGTGATGTCCAGAATTGCAACAATTATAGAGGAATCAAGCTAATGTGTCATATAATGAAAGTGTGGAAGAGGATGATAGAACGCCAATTGCGAGAAACAAAAAAGGTGTCAAAGAATCAATTTGAGTTTATGCTTGGTAGGTCAACAATGGAAGCGATCTATCTTTTGAGGAGAGTAATAGAAAAGTATAAGGAAAAGAAAAGAAAAGAGACATTCATATGGTATTTATCGATCTTAAGAAAGCATATGATAGAGTGTCCCGGGATAAAATATGGTGGGTGTTAGAGAAGAAAGGGGTGACAAAATGTTACATTGACGTAATTAGGGACATGTATGAAGGGGTGGTGACCACTATTAGATCGCCAGCTGGAGAGACAAATGAATTTTCTATCACTGTAGGGTTACACCAAGGATCTACCGTAAGTTCTTATCTTTTTGCTTTAGTTATGGACGAGTTGACGAGAAATATTCAGGATGACGTGCCATGGTGTATGCTTTTTGCAGACGGTATTGTGTTAGTGGATGAGACTAGAGAAGGAGTTAACACAAAGTTGGAGATTTGGAGAACAGCTCTTGAATCTAAAGGATTCCGGATAAGCAGAACTAAGACAGAATATATGGAGTGTAAATTTAGTAACAGTAACAATGAAAGCAAAGGACAAGTGAAAATTGAGAACCAATAACTGCCTAAGAGTGAACATTTTCATTATTTAGAGTCGATTGTCACAACAACAAGAGAGATTGATGCAGATGTGGCCCATAAAATTAAGGCGGGATGGTGTAAGTGGAGAAGTGCGTCTGGGATATGTGCAATAAACGAATACCCACTAGACTAAAAGATAAGTTCTATAGAATGGCTATTCGACCAGCTATGTTGTATGGGACGGAGTGTTGGACAACCAAGAAACAACATGTAGATAAGATGAGTGTGACTGAGATGAGGATGCTAAGGTGGATGTGTGGTAAGACTAGATAAGACAGAATTAAGAATGAGTGCATTCGAAAATGGGTAGGAGTAGCACCGATAGAAGATAAGTTGAGAGAAAATCGATTGAGATGGTTTGGTCATATTCAACAGAGACCAACAGAGGCAGCAGTGAAGAGATGCGATACTGTAACGGTAGATGGAAGTGTTAGGGGACGAGATAGGCCTAGATTAACATTGGCTAACGTTATAAATAGAGATATGAATCTACTTAATTTGACTAATGAAATGGCCTTTGATAGGCCGCGTGAAGAAAAAGGATTCATATAGCCAACCCCATTTGATGGGACTTAAGGCTTTGTTTGGTTTGGTTCGGTATAAGTTAAAGATATCTCATGGATATTTAAACAAAGATCACTGCTTTGCATGACACGAATCAATGTATTCAAGCATATTGAATTTTGAATATCTGAGTTCTTCAAATTGATCCAAAAATGGCAATTTGGATCATTGAAAAGCAAGAAAAGACCAAGATATTCATAAAACAGAATCACATAGTCCCCGACACATTCACAAGCAAAATTGCTGGAACTGAGTACTCTGCTTTATCCACCCAAAAAAAGAGTACTCTGCTTCATCAAATGTAGAGTCCTAATCAATTAGAAGCAGAAAATTTCCAACTCAATTACCATAACACTAGATAAAAATCATAGAGAGAAAGTACCTGCAACTTAATGAGGAGCTTGGTAGTGACCTCGTCACTCGAATCGATGACGGAGTGAACAGTTGAAGTCGAGGGTTTGAACTTCGATCGAAGAAGAGGGTAAGCCGACGAAGGCAACGAAGGAACTTCGTCCCATTCACAATTAGGGTTCTGAATTACATACCTATACACAGACACATAACAAAATCACAAAAATATACATATATCCATACACATGTAGAGAGAGAGAGAGAGATTTTACTTCCATATGAGGGGGATGAAGTGAGAGTTGATTCCAGCGTTTTCAAATTCGGTTCGAATCTGAGAAGCATCAAAGACTGATCGAAGCGCCATTGAAGCTCTCACTACCGATCTTCGAATTCGAGATTTCAAAGTTCGATTCGCGGATTCGAAACAGAGAGGCTCTCGCCGGCAGCTGACGAGAAGCTGCGATGCGAGCCGCCTCGTACAAGGCGTCTGACGACGACGTCGTTTGCATGATTACCTACATGGGGCCTCATGCTATATAAGCCCACAACTGGCCTCAATGCATTTAAGCCCGTTTTCTTTTCTTTTTTTTTAATTCAAGCCTGTTTTCATCTTTTACCTTTTTATTTTTTATTTGTTTTGCTCCTATTGATTTCAAATGATGATAATTACTAGCAGGTCATATGACTGAATTTATTTAATAGTAAATTTTGAATTTTTTTATGTATTTACTCTCGCTTTGATAATAAAAAAATTAAAATTTTTTAGATATATATTTTGGATTTTATAAAATAATTAATGTTCCACCCGTGCTATGCACGGATTATATTTATAAGTATTTTTATATATGTGAATTATGATTTTTAAAGGTCTTTTTTTTTTTTTGGCACACAGAAAAAAGAATATAACAAATACATCATATCTTCAATTAATTATTTTATATTTACTTTATTCCAAATTTAAAAATAATGTAGGGCAAAATTTATAACCAAATTAAGAAAAAATTTATTCCTAACGGCATTTTTTTACTTCTATATAAATATTTTAAAAAGTAAACTTGAAAAAGGTAGTCAATATAAATATTATACATTAAGTAAAAAATTGTGATTAGCAATTATGCTTATATAAATTTACTATAGTTTTAATTTCAAATTTAAAAAACAAAAAAAAATTATTTTAAAAGTATTTTATTTAGTTAGTACCAAATAGAATTTTCTTAGCAAAAAATAAAATTATAAAATATTGTTACAAATTTTCAAATGTCTATTATTGAACATTCTATTTTACTTGCTTGTTTGTTTACTTGCTTTGGGAGTTTTGATTTTTTATTTTACTTCACATTCATCGTATTGTTTTATTTATTTTACTTCTTCTTGTTTGATTTTTGTATGATACTTATTTCATAGTGCATCTCTAAGTGTATTAGTGAAAATATCATACACTTAAAATACACAAAATTACAATATACATAGAAAAAAAATAAGTATGTGAAAACCCATATTTAATCATTCTTAAAAGAAAATAAATTAATTAATTAATTAATTTTATTCATAATCTACCTAAAATACATAATACTGTAAAATTAGTTTTAAATTAACCCAATTCAATCACTAACAAAGACCTTATTAAGAATAATAATTTTGTGAATATGCAATATTTATTATTTTTAAATTATTTTAACATCATAGTAAAAATTAAAAAAATAAAAAGAATCAGATTCTCGGTGGCAGATAGTGCCACCTGCTAGTTTGCATGTAACCATGGAAACTTTCATCTCATTATAGTTCTTGGGTTGAGAAGATATGTTGGTAGGGAATAATGAAAAGAGAGAGAGTGAGAGAGGGGAGGGGGAGGCTCAGCATGATTTTATATATATATATACAAGGGAGGCTGAGTATAATTTGGGAGATATACAAAAGAAAAAGAAGGCTGCTCCTTTGGACGGGTGAGGAGGAAATAAGGAAAAAGAATTTAGCAGAAGGAGAAGAAGAGAGGAAGGTTTAGGAAGTAAATTTTTTCTATCATTTCATTATCCATTTCAATCCTACTATTAAGTAAGAAAACCCTCTCAACCCTCTAATTTCTTTTTATTAATAAAGTTTTCAGATTATGTTCTTGTGATTAAAATGACTACTCATAGATAGAAATTTTATATATATGTGTAGGAATTTTGTGATGTGTATATCAAATATTTGAAGATATTGATAGTCTTAAAATCATCTTATTATTGTAAAAATTAAGCTTGCATATGTAGTTTATACCTTTAAAGAGAAGATTGAAAATAATCTGTTTGTCCTTGAATCTGCCAGAATGTTTGCCCAAATTTTTAGACAATTTTATAATCAAAATTTCGAGGTGATTTCTTCTACAAAGTTGTTGAGAATGATGTCTAGTTCATCCAGAAATTTTGGCAACAATTTTTTAGCTTTCTACGAATTTATACAAATTTTTAACTAAATCTGAAACTGTGAAACAGATTTTACTATATATTTGAAAATTTATTTAAAATTTTATACTAAGCCAAATCTAGTAATTTCTAACCAAAAGATGAAATTTGAGAAGTTTAGTTTCATGATAAATTTTTAGATTATGGATTTGATCTATAAATGTAAGCATGGAATTAATGTAAGGAAATGTGACAAATTAGTGTCATAAAAATTGCTGAAAATTTTACAAGATTATTTACATCTTTTTTTTTTTTTTTAAATTCCTTCTGAAAAATGACCTAAACATCCCTATTGAGTATTCTGTTCAATTGCACGAATTTTAGGATTGTGTAAATAATTTATTTATAATTTTTAATACTTAAGTTACAATCTGAAATTTTCTGGACAGGATAAAATCATCACTTCAATATTGTGTTGATCTAATCCATCAACTATTATAAATTAGTAATCCATGTATGGGTGTGTTGTGATTTATTTAATATTGTGCTAGTCTAATTTTGTAAATAAAAAATTTGTACATGTGTGTAATTATGGTTTATTTCTTGTATCTAAGTTATTATGTTCATACAATGGTTTAAATTAATTGTCTATTAAATTTTGTATATTGAATTATTATTGTGTGACATGTATAATGTTTTATGTTGGGAGTTTTTTTTTTTTTAGTTGGTATAACATTATTGGTGATTGAGACTTGAATAATTTGTGTTTAATATATAAATTAACCGGAATGATTAATGGTATATATAAAGTTACTGATAGAGGGTTAATACTGGGTATTCAGAGTGAGCCCTAGTTTTTAATAATTTTTAAGTAAATTGTGTCGCGAAACCCTAAAATGACACGAGGATTATTTGAACCCTTATCGGTATTTGGTTTTAGAATAAGGGTGGATGTACGGGTGGCACGCAGGGAAGTTACGTACCCCTGACAGACCATTCCCTTGAGGCAGACCACGGATGTCACAGCTTGGGTATATAACTCCAGGCGTGGGCATCTTTGGTAGTTCTTGAATATTTGACCAATAGGGGATTTTCAAATTAACCGTGGTCATGACTTAGTGGTTGGCAAGTTAAGCCTCTTTGGTGAGATTTCAAGAGTCACCTAATTTACTAAAATTATTTGAATTATTTTAATAGTTGTAATTTATGTTTACGATTATATTATTATCTCGTGTTTATAATCTCATTATTTTCCCCAAAAAAGAATGGTAGGTTAGTTATGTTTTCTTACTGTGTTGCAAAACTCATGGCATATATTTTGTTACCCTGGCGTTTCATGCCAGAGTATGTCGAAGAAGGGACTGAGGTTGAAATTAGAATTGATGCTAATATCGAACTTTGGCTAACTTAGAGTCAAGATTTTATTGTATTAGTATTTAACAATGTTGTGACGTTGTGTGTGAACTTGTAGTTTTATTTTATTGTTGGACTTTGACTATGTAAGAATTTAAAATTTCCTAATTAGTAGTTAAAATTTTATCTAGCAAGTTATTGTTATTTAAATCTTATGATGTTTCAAAAAAAATTTGGGACGTCACAAAGTAATTGCCCAAAACTAAAACTACTTTAAGAGGGAAAAAAAGAACAAAAATGAAATTAATTGAAATAAAAAATAATTTATTTATTATTAATTAATTTTTAAAAATTAACTTTTAAAGAAAATAAACAAAACTACATATAATATATATATATATATACAAAAACTAAACATAAAATCTAATACAAAAAATAAATGAATTGTAGGATTTTTCAATAAGTGAGACTCACAAATAAATTTTGTAAAATCTTATCTATTTATATACTTTTTGTATATATTTTTTGTACTTTTAATCCTGAAAATGACATTGAAATGATTTACATTTCTTACATTAGATCCATCTAATAGTTTTAGTAAGCATAGATATAATAGATTTCATAACACAAAACACAAACAATTGCGAGATAAAGTATCTAAAAAAAATTAAAGCAATGTTCAATGATGATGTAAAATTACAACTGACGTTTTAATTAGAGGTATAATCAGATAAATCGTTATAGAAGAGGAAGACAACCTTTATTTTTTATCACAATAATTATATAACGCAATATCTAATTTTAATATCTCTCACCCTTCCACACGTCTAATTCTCTATCAATATTAGAGTGAATACATGAACCAAAAAAGGAAACATTTGAAGAGACAAAGAGACGTAGTTTGAGACATTTCAATTGTTGAATTCTATTAATTAATAGTTATTAGACTTCAATGGTCGGATTTCTAATATTTGTTAGCCATTAAAACTGAATTCTTTGGTTTCATCTATATTCACTTAATAATTTAAGAGTGGATATGTATCAAGCATTTACACAAATACTTAACATATTTTTTGAGCATTATTAATGAAATACACAGTGTAATTTTTTTTTTCCGCAATTGCAACTTATTATTTTTTAATAATAATTTTTATTTGCTTTAGATATTTTTTTAATATAAAAATTATTTTTTACAATGTAATTTTTTTCTCTTTTTTTTCGCAATTGCAACCTGTTATTTTTTAACAAAAAATATATTTGTTTTAGATTTTTTTTAATATATAAATTATTTTTTACAGTGTAATTTTTTTTCACAATTGTAAGATATTATTTTTTTTAAGGAATTTTTTTTGATAAATCTCATTTAGAAGTGTTTTAATCTAAGAAGTCTATGAAGGAATGTGAATATTCACATTGTCAACGGGCTAATTTTACACTCCTATCAATGTGAATATTCACATTGTCAACGGGCTGGGCCGGGCCCGCCCTGGGTCACTGGCCAATTTTATACTCTTATCAATGTGAATATTCACATTATCAACAGGCAGGGCCGGGCCCGCTCCGGGCCATAGGTGGGTTTCGGGCAGCCACGAGGCGCGGGCTAATTTTACACTCCTATCAATGTGAATGTTAACATGTCAATGTGAATATTCACATTGTCAACAGGCCGGGCTGGGTTCGCCCGGGCCGTGGGCGGATTTTTGGCCGCCCATGGGCCGCGGACCAATTTTATACTCTTATTAATATGAATGTTAACATGTCAATATGAATATTCACATTGTCAATGG